GGACTTGCATGCTCTCTTCCTTGTCCAAGTTAGTTTAGATGTAGTTTCCCCAAACTTCCCCACGTGGGCTGCCTACCTAGTTAAGTTTGTTAATGGGGCCGGAGAGATAGCCCAGCGGGTAGGGCATTGCCTTGCACGCGGCTGACCCGTGTTCAATCCATACGGTCCTCAAGCCCTCCGGGAGTGATTCCTGAGCAGAGCCAGGAGTCAGCCCTGAACACTGCCGGGCGTGGCCCACACCCAGTATATATTTAAGAAAGGAGTTTGTTGCTATGTTTGTCAAGAAGGAGAGTTTGAAGCCTTTGATGTCCTCTTCCAAGTCCTTGAGCCAGCCCTTCACTTGTGCTGAATGAAGGAGGGGGACCCAGCCCTCCCTGGGCCTGTGAGGGACTTATCAGATCTCAGTTTCTGTGTCCACAAAGTGGGTCTCGCAATAATGCTCTCAGGGCTAGTGACACAGTACCTTCTTCACATCCCATCTTGATTCTGTTTGGGTCCGAGGCCGATAGTCCCTCTTTCGAACCACACAAAGATTCCAGCCAGTCATGCAAACCACAAGCAGAGTTTGTTCAAGCCAGCTAGCTGGGGTCAAGTTCTCAGGCACGCAGGCCAAAGTAAGACCCTGAGCAAGGGAGACGCTTCAGGTTTTATAGTCAGTTTACATCATAGCCCTTGCTTACAGGTTCAAAGAAAAGCATAAGTCAAAATGCAAGTTTCACGATCCAAAAGAAAACATAGGGGCTAGAGTGATAGCACAGCAGGTAGGGCACTTGCCTTGCACGCTGCTGACCCGGGTCGACCCGGGTTCGATTCCCAGCATCCCATATGGTCCCCTGTGCACCACCAGGGGTAATTCCTGAGTGCAGAGCCAGGAGCAACCCCTGTGCATCGCCAGGTGTGACCCAAAAAGCAAAAAAAAAAAAAAAAAGAAAACATAACTTCAAATGGTACGAACAAAAGGTTACTGATGGGTCGTCTGGACATGTTCCCCGGGACATTCTGGCGGTTACTCACCCCTGCCCGCCTCTGGGTGGTTCTTTCGATAGCGGAGAGTGGTCATGAAACTATTTGCCAAGGTCAAGTTTTCAGCCCAGATGTCCTTCCCTTGCAGATGGTTAAGGGGGGAAGGAGCAGGGTTTTTATTTATTTATTTATTTATTTTTAATTTTTATTAGTGAAACACCATGAGGTACAGTTGTAGACTTACAAATTTCTGTGCTTGGGTTTCAGTTACACGATGATCCAGTACCCATCCCTCCACCAGTGCCCATTCTCCATCATTTACATTTTTTTAAAAATTTTTGTTAGTGAAACACCACGAGGTACAGTTGTAGATTTACAAAGTTTTGTGCTTGGGTTTCAATTGTACGATGATGGAACACCCATCCCTCCACCAGTGCCCATTTCCCACCACCACGGGTCCCAGTATCTCTCTCACCCCCCCTCCCCCCGTCCCACCCTGCCTCTGTGGCAGGGCATTCCCTTTTGTTCTCTCTCTCCTTTTGGAGGAGCAGGGTTTTTAAGAAAAACAAAATGTGGAGCAGGGGCAGGCAAACGGCGTTTTTCATGCCCCGCACCGTGCCCAAGAATTCCATCACATCCCAAGAACTCACTGCCAGCTCCCCAACTAACTCCCTGCCTGCCCACTCCACACTCCCAGGGGACAGACCGGGGCAGGTTGGGGGAACCCAGTCAAGTTCAGCCTGATTTTTCCTTTCCTGCAAAGAGCAAATATCTCCCTCCAGCTTGAGGCCAAGGTTCCCCGAGAGATTGAGGTGTTGGGTCTCGATTCTCAGATGGAGTGAGATTCAGGCACAGCCCGACAGCTACCTGGGGGAGCTGGGAGGTGCCAGCACCTGTGCTTAGGCCCGACTATCAGTCCTGACACCCTCAGACGCCCACTGGGTGACAGAGGCAGCCAAGAGGAAGTGGGGAGACTCCCCCTAAAGGTGCTTCCAGGCTCCCTGCATATCACGGAATCCACCAGCAACAAATCTCTCCTGTGTGTTTTCCTTTTTAACATTAATTGAGATAGGGCAGTGGGTAAAGCTCTTGGCTGGCATGTGACCGACCCAGGTTCGACCCCAGCATCCCATACGGTCCCCTGAGCACCGCCAGGACTGATTCCTGAGTGCAGAGCCCAAAGTGAACCCTGAGAATTGCTGCGCATGGCCCCCAAACAAGCAAACAAACAAAATTCACGTATCTTTTCCTCATTTGTGTGTGTGCGTGTGTGTGTGTGTGTGTGTGGTGTTGGTGGTGGGAATTGAACCCAGGGCCTCAATCTCTGCCCTCAAGGCCCAGGGACCTCTGTGTGTGACCTGGGAGCCAGCCAGCCCAAGGCCTGCTGGCCCAGATTGGAATTCCTGACTAGTAGGTTGTCTTTAATCCATACATCTGCTGTAACAACAAGACAACAGCACTATTAATCCCCTACACTTGATGAGCTATTGCAGGTCTGAGTGCCAAGAGCCAAAAGCCAAAGTTCCTCCTGGGAATCTGCCAGCAATTCGGTCAGGGGGCCGGAGAGGGGCCGGGAAGGGAGGCACGGGCTCGCACACGGGACTGCCTACCTGAGGTCGTATGCTGGCCGGAGAATGGAGAAGCCAGGCCCTCAATGTCCCTCCTGGCTGCCCTGGATTCCTGCTTCCCTTCCGTCCAGCTCCCTCACACCCACAGCAAGCCCCACTCCCCTCCCTCCACAACCACCACCACCAAGTCCCACCTTCTGTGACCCCCAACAGGGCCAGGCCACACACTGTGCGGACCTGGGACGCCTGTTGCCAGGTGTTGGCTTGTCAGCCTGTGTGTCTTTGGCGGAGGGCGGAGGGCTGGGCCGGGAGAAGGCCCTCAACCCTTGTTTGTTGATCTAGAATTCGATCCGACAGGATTAGGCCTGTACCCATCAGAATATCTCCTGTGGCTTTCTGTGTCAGCCCCCACGTCCTGGCAGAGGTACTGGAGAAAGCTCGCAGCACCCCTGGGGAACCCCCATGCCAGTGCTTGCTGGGGCGGCCCACCTGCCGCCCACACACGCCGGGGAGGCTGGGAAGTGGGCCCACAGGGACACCGGCACTGCAGGCTGGGTGTGGGGATGGGGGTCGGGAACGCGGGTGAGGGTGGTGTCAAACTGCCGGGGTCGGAAGGTACAGTGGGGTCATAGAATTCTCCATAACTGGAGGATTCCCCAATCCTGTGGCTTAACTGGCTCTCCAGTGACTGACTGTTCTGAGAGTGGAGATCAAAACAGACACAAGGGGTCGGAGAGAATCTTGCACGTGGCTGACCCAGGTTCGATCCCCACCATCCCATAGGGTCCCTCGAACCCTGCCAGGAACAGAGCCAGGAGTAACCACCCCTGAGCATTGCTGGGTATTGCCCCCCCCAAACAAAAACCAAATGAACCAGACACGAAACTTTGAACATAGACAGATCTCGGCACTTTATTGACACCCAGAGTTAGCCAGTGGGCAGGGTAGCTGGGACGCATGTTTTCTATCCAGACAGTATAATATATGGCATGGATTATGCAGAAACAGGAGGAGAAGCAATAAGTTAAAAGCGACATAAGTTATGAAAAAATAATATATATACTTTATATACTTGTATCCCCACTGAGGAGTTGCTCCCTTGGAAACCAATAAATAGGTGGAGAAAAAGCAGCAATCAACACCCTTTTGGGATTCGACGGGTCAATCTTTTGAGTTTCTTCCAGCCTGAACGCCAGCGGCCCTTTGGCGCCCCCTATAGGCCGGGAGGACTTAGGCCTAGTTGGAGTCAAGACCTTGGGCCACCTGGTCCTGGAAAATGGGTGAAAAGAGGGAAACCAAGAAGGGGCTGAAGGGGGAGGTGAGGCAAGGGGCAGGCAGGCGAGAGGAGGCAAGGAGAAGGTGGCAGAAGGGGAGGCTGGAACTGCTGGCCCTGAGAAGGGAGGGAAATCCTTCCAGCTCCAGAACTTTGGTTGAAGGCAGACTTTCTCGTTGGTTGAGCTCCCTAGAGGGTGTTACTGAGGCCTCCCAGATCTGCCTGGCCCCACTGAGGCTGGGAGCAGGCACGGAGGTGAGGGCAGGGCCGTGGGGGGTGGGGTGGGGGTCTCTAGGCTCTTGAGGGAATGAAGAGGGAAGGGCTGGACTGTGGATGAGCGAGTCTGAGTGGGACTCCTGGGAAGTGGCCCTGGGGTGGCCCAGGACACGGAGCCCCGAAGCCAGGTTTCGGGCTGTGAAAGAGCTACCAGGAGGCAGAGAACGGGCACAGGCAGAGTGGAGGTGAGAGCAGGTTTCACTCACAACTGGGACTCTGCCCCCAGGGCACTCATCATGGCAAGAATAGCTTCTGGAATATTCTGGGCCTGGCCTGCACTGTGTCTGCTGAGAAGGCCATGTAGAAGAAGGTGTGTGTGTGTGTGTGTGTGTGTGTGTGTGTGTGTGTGTGTCTGGATGGCCTCTCTTAAAACCCAGTCCCAAACACCTGTGGCCCTCTTTCCTCCCTCCCATAATACTGTCAAGTCTCTGGGGACCCCGGCGGTGGAAGCCAGGGGGGGACTTAGCACGCAGTTTCCCGGGAGCTCCGGATCCAGTACTCCCCAGGCGGGGTTGAGGCTGCCAGTCAGTGAGGACGCAGGCAGCGGCCTCCCTTCCGGGGCAGAGGCCAGGCCAGGCTGGAGATGGGAGTTTGGGGCAAGGGCTGGAGTTTGGGGATGTGCTGGGAGAGGAGCCTCAGGGGAGCAAGGAGCCCGGACAAGGCTGACCCTGTTCAATTCCAGTTGATCATGGGGGAGGTCTCTGGCGGCTGGCGGGCAGGGCTGCAAGCTGGTGATGGGTGAGGAGGCCACTCTCCTGGGCCGCCCACCCTGCAGCCCCCAACCCTCCCCCAAGCAAGCACTCTTTGGAACTCCAGTTTAGGACCAGGCTTGCCTCCCTCCAGGCCTGGTGCTTTCTGGAGTCCATCTTAAGTGCCTCCCGCTGCAGTGGGAGTGACTGGGGCTCCCGGAGCCTCCGGCCTTAGTCTGAAGCCTCCGACTCTTGCAAGAGGAACTTCTCGGACATCTCGGTGATTTGAATCACAGGCCCTTTTTTGTTCTTCTTCTTCCGGGAGGAGGCTCTAGGGACACTGCACTTGGACACAGCTACAGGGAACACAAAGGGTGAGGGAGGGGAGGGGCTGGAGGTTTGGGAGGGTCTTAAAACACTGCCTTCTGGGTCCTGGGCCCCTGCCTTGCTCCTCCCCATCATGGGTTCCTGGGGTAAAGCTCACTCACCGATTCTGGGTCTGGACTGCACAGTGCTGACCACAGCCGTTGATGGCAGGTCCATCCTGAGGAGAAGGGGTGTGAACTGTGAAGAGAGCTGGAGACTGATGTGCCTGCCTGGGAGCCGAGATCTGGGGACGGCAGGTCTTGGTGCCTCTCCCGGCCCCGAATTACGCTGCTCTGTGACACCTCTTAGCCAGCTTGTCCTCGGTGGGCGTCTGCCCCCTCTTTGCTAGTCAAATGGCTAATATATGCCATGCATTTAGGAATCATTTAGGACTCCCAGGGGCTGGAGCAATAGTGCAGCGGGTAGGGCGTTTGCCTTGCACGCGGCCGACCCGGGTTCAATTCCCAGCATCCATATGGTCCTCCGAGCACTGCCAGGAGTAACTCCTGAGTGCAGAGCCAGGAGTAACCCCTGAGCATCGCCGGGTGTGACCCAAAAAGCAAAAAATAAAAAAAATTAAAAAAAAATGAAGGCAAGGGGCTGAAGCAATAGGTGTGACCCAAAAAGAAAAAAAAAAAGGACCAGCCCATGTTCTGGATGGGAAAACATTTTTTGTTTTTGTGTCTGGACCACTCCTGGCGATTAAGCAAGCTCACCTACCGCAAGGCCACGCCCACATCAGGCCACGCCCACGACTCCGCCCACGCCAGACCACGCCCACAACACAACCCACAGCGGCCACGCCCATCTCAGGGCACGCCCACGACCCCGCCCACACCAGACCCCGCCCACGAAACAACCCGCCGCGGACCACGCCCACCGCCGGGCCACGCCCACTCCCTCACCGGCTCTCCTCGCCCTCCACCAGCTTGCTGTAGGTGGCGATCTCGATGTCCAGGGCCAGCTTGGTGTTCATCAGCTGCTGGTACTCGCGCAGCTGGCGCGCCATGTCCTGCTTGGCCTGCTGCAGGGCGCCTTCCAGCTGGGCCAGCTTGGCCTTCGCGTCCTGGAAGGCCAGTTCCCCCTGCTCCTCGGCGGCCTTGATGTTCTCCTCCAGTTTCAGGCACTGCAGCCAGGAGCACAAAGGTCACTGGACGCGGTGGCTGGGCTGAGAGTGGGCCTCGGGCCCTTCTCTGCCCTGGCTGGGGATGTGCGCGGGGAGGGACGGCTCAGCGGGGTGCCCGGAGGCCAGGGGGAGTTCGGTGCCAGCCACGTGCCGTGCCCTGGCCTCACTGTCCTTGCAGGGCGGTGCTGCTCTGGGGGCGGACTTTGTCCTCTGGGCCCCTCTTGGAGTGGTGGCACAAGGCCTGGAGGGAGGCGAGCGTGGGGCGTGTGCTGGGCTGCTCTCCTGTCCCGACGGCCGGGGCCAGTCCACAGGGCACCTGCACCTGCCCAGCTCACGGGATCCACGTGCTTTTTTTTTTTTTTTTTTTTTGCTTTTTGGGTCACACCCGGCGATGCTCAGGGGTTACTCCTGGCTCATGCACTCAGGAATTGCTCCTGGCGGTGCCCAGGGGACCATATGGGGTGCTGGGAATCGAACCTGTGTCTGTCATGTTGGCTGCGTGCAAGGCAAACGCCCTACCCGCTGTGCTACCGCTCCAGCCCCTCCACGTGCCTTCTTGGCGGAGAGAAGGGAAGGCAGACGGGGGGCTGCTCCGTGGCTCGCCCAGGGTCACCCAGTCCGCTCCTGCTCCGCCCCGGGAGACCCCGTGTGCTTGCCTGTGCTTGCATGTGCCCGCCCCTCCCCCAGATCCCGCCCAGGGGCGCTCACGTGGCTCTTGACCGAGAGGATCTGCGACCTGAGCTTCTGGATGTTCACGTTGAGGTCCGCGATCTCGCTGCGGCAGCTCTGGAGGCTGCTCCCGTACTCGGCCGAGCGCGCTGCCCGCTCCTGCAGCTGTGGGGGTGCCAGGGGGCCATGAGGGGCAGTCCCAGGCCCTGGCCGCACCCCCTTCCCCGAAGCACCACTCCCACGCCCGGCCGCTCTCCTGCCTCCCTGGAAATGATGCTCCCTGGATGCCTCCTTCCTCCTGCCCACACCTGGCCTCGCCTTCTGGAGGGCACACAGTTACTGCTGTAAAAAATCAGAAAGTCCCGGGCCCCAGGAAAGCAGTGGCCCCCAGAGACAAGTCTGTGATTGGAGACAGGCTTTGGTGTGGCTATAGATTGGCTCCCTCGAGGCCCGGAGACCCTCAGCACATGTACACACACACACACACACACACACACACACACACACACACCCCTCCACTCACCCTGTGCCCAGCCACTGCCCACTGTAGTCCCTGGGCATCCACCCAGCAGTGGAGGGAAGAATCACCCAAAGGTGCAGAAGAGTTCAGTCTCAGAGTAGACATTGGACCACTAAAGACAAAACTCTCAGTCCTGATGAAACCACTAGGGCCAGGAGCTTCTGCAGCATGCAATAACGGGCTCCCCACCCGTCTCCCGCTTGCGACTGGCATGCTGCAGACCCCGACTGCCCCCACCCGTCCTCCTCTCTCAGTCTCTTAGCCACTGCAGGCCCCTTGGCTACTGCTCCTGCCTGGTGTGACCTGCCCAGAGCCTGGCTCTGGAAGCTTTAACTGCGGAATTAGCTCTGAGGGCCCCCATCTGACTCTGGAAGCCCATTATGGAGCCCCAGGAGCACACACGTGGCCCTGAGGTTACACACCTGACTCCGGAAGCACACCTGTGGCCTCAGGGGAATGCACCTGGTCGGGTGGCACACACTTGGCTCTGGGGACATGCACCTGGCCCTGAGGGTACATACCTGGTCCTGGGGCATGCACATGATGGGGGGGCGCCATACTTAGTCTCAGGGGCACACATCTGGCTCTGGGGCACATCTGGCCCTGGGGGGCACCCACCTGACCCTCGGGGTATGCACCTGGTTCTGGGGGTACACATTGCTCCAGTGATATGTACCTGGCCCCAGGGGCACACACTTGGCTCAGGGCATACACCTGGCCCTGGAGGCGTGCACCTGGAGGGTCACGCACCTGACTCCGGGAGTACGCCTCTGCCTCTTCCAGGCTTCGAGCGGCGATGGCATCATACTGGACTTTCACCTCCTCCACGATGCCGCTCAGGTCGATGTGGCAGCGGCTGTCCATGCCCACCGTCACGGACACATCCCTCACTTGGGAGGTTAGGTCATTCAGCTCCTGGCCAGGCACAGACAAGCGGGTGAGGGCTGGTCACCACAGACCCCCACAGTTCCTTTATTCCTCGGGGAGGGGAGAATGGTCCCTCCCTCCCTGTCTGCCTGCGAGAGGACGAGGTTGCTGTCTGCCTGCCACCTCCTAGTCAGGCTCGAGCTCCCTGGCATCCCTCCCCCTTCTTCCCTCTCAGAGAGAGGGGGGACACTGAAGGGCTCATGCCACGGGCTCGCCCTGAGGCCTCCTTAGTCCCCTGCGCCTTGCAGAGCTGCCCGCTGCCAGGCAGGACACCTTCCTCCTGGAGACTTGCTTCTTGTTTTCCACTTTGGCCACTGACTCCCTCACTGGATGAGGCTCCCAAAACAGCCTGTTTTTGTCTCTGACCTCCACGTCTGGTCCCACAGACGCGTCACACCTGGAAGTATCTCAGCTGATGTCAGGAATGTTTAAAAGGGGGGCTGGAGCGATGGCATAGCAGGGAGGGGGCCTGCCTCCCACGTGGCCAACATGGGTTTGATTCCTGGCACCACAGGAAGTCCCTCAGGTCCCACCAAGAGTGATTCCGGAGTGCAGAGCCCATAGTAAGCCCTGATCCCACAAAACTAAAATCACTGTCTGTCCTCCCGTCGTTCATCGATTTGCTCGAGCGGGCCCAGTAACGTCTCCATTGTGAGACTTGTTGTTACTGTGTCTGGCATATCGAATACGTCACGGGGAGCTTGCCAGGCTTTGCCTCGAGGGTGAGATACTCTTGGTAGCTTGCCGGGCTCTCCGAGAGGGGCTTGGCGGGGCTGGCTGTGCGCAAGGTAAATGCCCTCCTGTTGTGCTATCGCTCAAAGTCAATCAATAAAAATCAATACAATCGATAAAATCAATAAAAAATAAAATCAATTCAAAAATGCTGGGTAGGAGGCTTGGGAGTGATGCATGCAGTCAGGGCTAGAGGTCCCCAACATGCTTACCTTGCTCCTGCCAGAGCCTGGGGGTGGGGGGCTGCAGGGACGCCCGGAGACCCCCCTCACCCTCCCTGCCAGGCTGAGGGCTTGCCTGTCACCAGGACTCAGCCCCAGTGTTTTTGTCATCTCCCTGACAATCACAGTCTCACTTTCCTCCTCTCGTCCTCTCTGCTTTGGGAATGCCAGTCCCAGCGACACGGCTGTTCCCCAGGGGCCCACGGTGGCCCAGCGGGGGCTCTGCACCTCTGGGTCCTCCCCGCTTGCCCTTGCAGGGCTGGCAGGGGCAGGGGGTGAGTCACAGGGAGGAAGGAGTCTCGGGAGTGGCTGTGTGCATGCTCAGCCTGTGCCCTGCTGACCTGTCCGCATCCCTGCAGCCCCGTCTCTGACCACACTGCGGGGCTGCGCAGAGGCAGGTGGGGTTCCAGAAGGTTCCAGAAGGGACCCCGGGGTGCCTCGAGCACCCTTGGGTGATGATGCATGGCTGTGTGGGGGAGAAGATGTGTGTGTGTGTGTGGGGGGTAATGTCACAGCCAGAACTGTACAGAGCAATTTAGGGGGCCCAGGAGCCTCAAAGGTGCAGCCTGGGTCTTACCTGGGGAAGGAGCACGGGGCACCTCCTTCCTGACCCTGATTTCAACTATCGAAGTTTGGTCAGTGTCCCCATTTTCTGACAGCCACATACATACACACGAATATTCCTTTTTTGAATCAGGGCTCGGACAAGATCTGCCTAGATACATGGTGATGGGTCCACACGTCTCTAAGCTTCTGGAGCTATAACATTCCAACTCTTTTGTTGCTTCTTACAGACGTTTGCTTTGGGTTGCTTGCCTGGCTGTGGTCCGCATAGTCCAGACTTAACCGAGGCCATCGCGTGTTGATCTTTTCTCTCTCTCTCTCTCTCTCTCTTTTGGGTCTGTCACGCTGCCTACTGCACTAAGGTCACAGCCAGATAGCACAGCGGTCGGGCGTTTGCCTTGTGCGCAGCCAGCCTGGCCGAGCCAGGTTCGATTCCTCCGCCCCTCTCAGAGAGCCTGGCAAGCTACCGAGAGTATTCAGTATGCCAAACACAGTAACAAGAAGTCTCACAATGGAGACGTTACTGGGCCTGCTCGAGCAAATCGATGAACAACGGGAGGACAGTGTTTGAGTGTTTTTGAGTTTTTTGGGTCACACCTGGCGATGCACAGGGGTTACTCCTGGCTCTGCACTCAGGAGTTACCCCTGGCGGTGCTCAGGGGACCCTATGGGATGCTGGGAATCGAACCCAGGTCGGCCACGTGCAAGGCAAACGCCCTACCCACTGTGCTATCTCTCCAGCCCCCTCTCTTTCTTTTTTAAGTTTTTCTTTCCTTTTGGGTCCTCCTGGGGGATGGGATGAGGGAGGTCTTTCTAGTGGTTGTCAGCAACCAGGCAGGCAGCATTGAACTGCAAAGGCTGGAGGTACGGTACTGTCGGGCACTGAGGTGCCAACCTGGGCAGTGCTGGGGGCCTCTGGGCTGTTTCAGAGACCACTGGGTGCTGGGGATAGAACCAGGGGAAGTCGCGTGCAAGGCAAGAGCCTTAACCCCTGCTTTATCTCTCTGACCCCTTGGGGCTGCTTTCTCACTTGGAGTCCTGCATTACTGTCCGTTGTCTGTCTGTCTGTGCTCAGAGAGGTTGTGCTTAAGCCTCTGGGCTCTGCATGGCTGGGACAGACCCCTTCCACCTCCCCTCACCCCCTTTTCCTGCCTGCAGGTGATGGAGGGCTGGCTGGAGTCACGTGGGTGCCCCCTGACTGCACCCCTCACTTCTGCCTCATGACAAAGCACCCCTGTGACAAGCCTGAGCTCCTGGAAGGCAACTTGAGCTGTGGGGGGCATCTTGAAGCCTCTCGGAGTCACCTGTGTGCTGCCTGGAGCCAACAGGAAGCTGAGCTCTGTGTCATCTGCTCTAACTCTGGGCAAAAGTGTAGGCAGAGGGCCTCACCCGTGTTCTGATGAACACAGACTCCAGGCCCAGCGGGCTGCCCCGGCACAGTGAAAATCAAAACAGCCCCCTGGAAGCCACATCCCACAGCCCACCCAGGGCTTGATCTGCAGGCAGAAGCTCTGGGCTTCTTGTGCAAAGGGTCATGAGTGTGTTTGGGAGGCATGGGGAGTCCTGCACTCCTTTGTCCTTGGCAGGAAAGGCCAGGGCAGAGTGGACCCGCTGTGGGACAGTGGACGGGGCTGTGGAATCCTGGCCAGGGTAGCTCCTCCTCAGATCCTCTCTGCAAGGAGTAGAAACTTGAACTTGGTAAATAGTAGCAGGAAGTGGAGGGTTAGAACATCAGCCAACCTGCTCAGACTTGCCGGCCTCTGCCGGGCCTCCCCGGGCAGAACAATGCTGGCCTGTGTGGCATGAAGGTCCCAGCCTGGCTGAGCTCCTGGGATCTGCACCTCCAAGTCGCCCAGAGTTAAGCTGAGGGACTGTTTGTGGCTTCCCTGAGGAAGCCTGGGAGACTCTTGCCTATGTGGTCCCCAAGTCAGGCTAGCTAGCGGCTGAGGGGCGGTGGTGCGGCCGTGGGGGTGACGGGGCTGCTCTGTAAAATGCAGCCCTTCATGGGCTCTGAGCACCATCATTTCTCAGTCGCTGGGTGACCCGGGCCAAGGCAGAGCCCCCCTGAGCTCCGGGTCCCACCTCTAAGTGGGGCTCTAGACTGGAAAGTGGCAAACGTGTCCTGAACTCGCAGCCCTGCTCCAAACTGTTCTAAGTGCTCAGGGTGTGTTAGCAGAGCGAACCCGCCCCACGTGGAGGTGAGCGACAGGCTCTTCTCATTCTGAGCTTTTTCAGGGGGAAATCAAGGCATGCAAGAAAGAACGTGCTCAAGTTCACAGAATCACAATCGGGGGCAGAGCGACAGTGCAGCAGGTCGGGCATTTGCCTCGCACACGGCCAACCCGGGCTCAATCTCCAGCACTACAGATGGCCCCCTGAGCCCCGCCAGGAGTGATCCCTGCATCAGAATTAGGAGTAAGCCCTGAGCACTGTGATGTGGCTCCCCAACAAAAAACCCAAAACAAAGCTGAAAAAGCAAAGGCAAGGGGCTGGGCGTGGTTCGCTTGCTCTCCTTAGCAGCACTGTGGAGATTCCGAATTCTGGAAGCAGCTCAGTGAGCAGCAGTTCAGGGTGTTCTAGTCCAGTGGAGGGAGGAACTGTGTCCTGCAGAGCAGAGCCACCTCGCCGGCCTCAGCGTGGCGCCACGCAGCTTAGCAGCTCCAGGCTCAAGGGGCCGGGCTGCAAGGGGTGTCAGCGGACTCCAGAGCTAATCTCCCTGGAACCAGAGTTCCTAGGGCGGGGCTGGCCGGGTTTCACTGGATGCAGCTGGGCCTCGTGAGCCCTTGGAAGCTGAGGGCAGTGCAAGCCGTTGCGGCCAAGTGGGTGCCTGAGCGGCTAAGGGAGGTATCAGACTGATCAGACTGCAGGGGAGCTGTGTCCCCCATCCATGGCCCTGGGCTGGGCGCAGAGTGGGGGGAACTGATTTTAGGGACCAGCCGCCAGTCTAGTCTGCAGTGCTTTTCTCTTCCAGAGTGATCCCAGCAGGCCCTACCCAGCAGACCCCAGGGCCTTTTCTGTCACCTGAATTGTTAGTAGCTGGTATGTAAGCTTCTACTGGAGATACACTGAAATGCGCTTAGAATTGATACAGAAATAAATTTAAAAAAATTGAGATAGACTGTCAGTAAAATACACTTGCAATCTGAAGACTCAGTATGAAAAATGGTGTATATATAATATATATATATATATATATATATATATAAGAGTTTGATTTTTCTGCCCCTCTCGGAGAGCCCGGCAAGCTACTGAGAGCATCTCACCCGCACGGCAAAAGCCTGGCAAGCTACTCGTGACGTATTCGATATGCCAAATACAGTAACAATGTTACTGGGCCCACTCGAGCAAATTGATGAACAACGTGAGGACAGTGACAGTGATATATATATATATCTATATATACATACATATATATACATATATATATATATATACCTGGAGCGATAGCACAGTGGGTAGGGCATTTGCCTTGCACGCGGCCGACCCAGGTTCGATTCCTCTGTCCCTCTCAGAGAGCCCGGAAAGCTACTTAGAGTATCCCATTTGCATGGCAGAGCCTGGCAAGCTCCCTGTGGCGTATTCGATATGCCAAAAATAGTAACAACAAGTCCCAAAATGGAGACATTACTGGGCCTGCTCGAGCAAATCAATGATCAAAGGGAGGACAGTGCTACAGTGCATATATATATATATATATATATATATATATATATATATAAAGGTAAAGGCCCTCCCGTTGATCGTCGATTTGCTCGAGCGGGCCCAGTAACGTCTCCATTGGAGACTTTGTTGTTACTGTGTCTGGCATATCGAATACTCTCGGTAGCTTGCCGGGCTCTCCGCGAGCGGGCCCAGTAACGTCTCCATTGGAGAATTGGAGACTTTGTTGTTACTGTGTCTGGCATATCGAATACTTTTGGTAGCTTGCCGGGCTCTCCGAGAGGGGCGGAGGAATCGAACTCGGGTCGGCCATGTTGGCCGCTTGTAAGGCGAACGCCCTACCCGCTGTGCTATCGCTCCAGCCCTATATATATATATATATATATATATAAAGACTTAGTCTTGGGGGCCATGGAGATAGTATCAAGGGTGGGTCGCTTGCCTGTATGCAGCTGTCCTGGGTTTGATCCCCATGGGGTCCTCCAAATCCTGCCAGGAGCAATCCCGGAGCATCCTGCTCCCCACTTCCCCAGTCAAACAACAACCCAAACCCCCAAAACACTGAATCTGCCAATCACTGTTTGGGCTAAACAATTACATTAGGGGCTGGAGTGACAACGCAGCCTTGCATGTAGCTTCTTGGGCTCGATCCCCGGCATCCCATATGGTGCCCTGAGTCTGCCCGGACTGGTCCCTGAATGCAGAGCCAGGAATAATCCCTTAGCACTTCTGGGTACCGCCCCTAAACCAAAAACCAACCAACCACACAAAAAACCCAAGTGCATTAAAGCAATGTTTCCAAGCTACTCCAGCTGTGCCTTCCCGATAAAAAACACCCAATGCCCTGAACAAACATGATGACCTCTTAGCACCTAAGTGCAAACCATAATACACAAAAGGAGAGAGAGGGAGGAAGAAGAAAGTGTCTGCCATAGGGACAGGCGGGGGCGGGGGGGCACCGGAGGGGAACTGGGGACATTGGTGGTGGGAAGTGTCCACTGGTGGAGGGACGGGTGTTGGAACATTGTATGACTGACACCCAATCATGAACAGCTTTGTAAGGGCCTATCTCACGGTGATTCACATAAAACAATAATAAAATAAAACGATCTTTTATGTTTAAGGTTTTTTTCCACCTTGTTCCTAGGCAAGTCATATTCATCCCAGCGGCCCACTCTGCATTTCTGCTGTACAGAGCAGGGGTGGAGCGGGAAGGGGGTTTTAAGCCAAGGACGGTCCTTTCGGGCCTGCTGTGGGCACCCCAGCAGCAGAAGCAGCGCCCGCCCCAGCACCAGGGTGGGTGGGGGTCCCACTGCGCCCGGAGAAGGACACCTCAGCTGGCCCAGGCCGAGGCTGTGCGTGGGCTGCCCTGCGGCTCCACATCTGACCTGATCAGCTTCTCTGCCCTCATCACCCAGTTTCCTCCTGTTGTGAGCACTTTGCAGCTTGGACCTTCTCGGCGGGGGTGGGGGTGTGGGGGTGGGCAGCCGCACTGGCTTGTGCCATCTTTGAGATGGTTCGGAGCTTGATCTTCCCTCCAGGACCCCAGTCTCTTTGCTAATTAGCTAAGTGGTGCCCTCCCGGGAGTGGGCACTTGGCCGAGCGGTGGAGACTTCATCCCAGTCCTACAAGCCTGATACTATTCCCCACCCCATGTGACAGATGAGGAAACTGAGGCACCGGGAGGAGAAGCTGGCCCAGAAAAGCTGGAGTCAGGCCCAGGCCTCAGGGGCTGCCAAGCTCTGGGGTGCAAGGGTCTACTTCGTTTTTTTTTGTTTTTTGGATTTTTGGGTCACACCAGGCGATGCACAGGGGTTCCTCCTGGCTCTTCACTCAGGAATTACCCCTGGCGGTGCTCAGGGGACCATATGGGATGCTGGGAATCGAACCCGGGTCGGCCATGTGCAAGGCAAACGCCCTACCCGCTGTGCTATTGCTCCAGCCCCCAAGGGTCTACTTTGGAGGGCACCTGGGGCAGTGCCCATGCACTCTGCCAGTGTGTTGAGGCCTTCCTGTACGTAGGGCCTTGCCAGACGGGGGCTCTGGGCTGGCTGAGAAGTGGGAGAATGAAGAGCCGAGCTCAGATTCCGAATGGCCCATCTGCGGCTACGTACCCGGCCCAGCGGGACCAGTTCTCAAGTGTACCCGTGGGCTGGGGCTCCTGTGAGCCTCAAAGGCCTGGCCGGGCTGTGGAGGGCCCAGCCAGAAACGCAGCTTTTCAAGAACCTGCTGTGGGCTGTCTGCCTGGGGGGCCGCCCAACGCCTGCCGTTGCCAAGGGCTGTGGTGTTCCCTTTGTACCTGTGCCTGCTGCCTCGGGCCTGCCACAGGCTCATGGAAGTCTAAGTGGGGCTGCGAGAGGCCCAGTCCCCCTCCCCTGCTCTTGATGTTGGGGTCAGCAGCCCCAGGGCTGTCTCAGGGGACTGTGGGGTCTTCTCTAACTCAGCTGCATTGCTCAAGCTTGTGGCCACCAGCGGGCCTGTAGCTAAACCGAAACCTGGACCTCTGTTTCCCCCCTGCACCAGGGAGTGGACGTCCTCCTCTGAGGGTGTCCAGGAGTGGGGGGCAGCATCCGGTGTCAGGGGCAGGGCCCCAAGGGTACTGGCAGCCTCCTTGGAGCCTGGACCATTGTTCTCCCACCTGGTTCAGGATTTAGGTGAGAGAGGGGGAGAGAGAGAGAGAGAGAGAGAGAGAGAGAGATTGCTCCCGAGGTCAGCTGGGAGGAGCTGGGTGCCATCAGAACTAGACTGAGGGGCTGGAGCCATTGCACAGCGGGGAGGGCGTTTGCCTTGCACGCAGCCAACCCAGGTTCTATTCCCAGCATCCCACAGGGCCCCCAAGCACCGCAAGAGTAATTCCTGAGTTCAGAGCCAGGAGTAAGCCCTGTGCATCACCGGGTGTGACCCAAAAAGAAAAAAAAAAAGAAAAGAAAAGAAAAGAAAAAGAACTAGACGGAGCTGCATCAACGGGGGTGCAAGAGGGGGTGCTTGGAGAGAGGGATTGTTAAGCTCCCGCGCTCAAAGCCTCTCCCTGGGGAAATGCACGGTGAGCCCGCAGACGGGGCCACAGGTGGGGCCCGCAGGAGAAGGTGCTCCCGTGTAGACCCGCGCCCGCGGGGGCGCTGGGCAGACGCCGCCTCTCACCTGCTCGTAGATGGTTTTCATCAGCTCCACGAAACTCTGCAGCCCTTTCAGCTTCGTCTCCAGCTCCGTGCGGCGGAGACACTCGGCGTCCAGGTCCTGGGGACAGGGACGGGTGAGCAGGGGAGGGGACACGGAGGGGCCCAGGGAATGGGACTCCGAGGGCGTGGCCGGGGGTCTGCCTGTGTGTGGTGGGGGAGTCATAGGGCTTTGTGGGGGAGAGGGAAGCCCAGGGAGGGGCCCCAGGATCCCGAGGAGGGGCCCCAGGGCGGAGTACCTTCTTCAGCTGCACGAAGGTGAACTCCATGTCCGTGCGCTTGGAGATCTCCTCCTCGTACCTGGGGCAGGAGGCAGGGGAGCCGCTCAGTTGGGGCTCAGCCAACCTCCCCGGCCCCCTCGCCATTGGGTGCCAGCTGGAAAAAGAGCCCTCCTTCTGGCGGTCCCCGGGGCGTCTTTGCCCTGGTGACGCCCCTATGGTCTGGGGCAACCCTGCTCCCCAATTCTTCCCCACCTTCTCCGCTGGGAGGGCAGTCTGTGCTCCATACCCCCTCTTTCAGGAAGCCCTCCTGATTGTGCAGCCCTTTCATCTGACTATTGCCTCATCTTTTCTTTTTCTCTGGAGTCACAGTCACTTCTTCCTCTCACTTCCTCTCTTTCCTCTCCCCCTCCTCTTTTGTTTTTTAGGTTTTTGGGCCAACCTGGCAGTTTTCAGGGCTTACTCCTGACTTTGCACTCCCGGCAAGTTCAGGGGACCCCATGGGATGCTGGGGATTGAACCCAGGTCAGTGGTGTGTAAGGAAAACACCCTCCCCGCTGAGTACCCTCTCTCTGGCCCCTCCCTCCCCCCCTCCCTCCCTCCCTCCCACCCTCCCTCTCTCCCTCCCTCCCCACCCCTTCCCTCTTTCTTATGGTGCAGGTGATGGAACTCTGATCTCTAAGAGTCTTGGATTCTGGGACTGGAGTGATAGCACAGTGGGTAGGGCATTTGCCTTGCATGCGACCAATCCGGGTTCGATTCCCAGCATCCCACATAGATGGTCCCCCAAGCACCACCAGGAGTAATTCCTGAGTACATGAGCTAGGAGTAACCCTTGTGTATTGCTGGGTGTGACCCAAAAAGGAAAAAATAAAAAAGAAAAAAGAGTCTTGGACTCTTAACACTGAGCCATTTCCTGAATCTTTGGTCAACCTTGATGAGGTATGATGTACCCCCAGCTCTGCCGGACGCCTCCCCAGGGAGGACAAAGCGTGGCCTTCACAGTGAGCTGGGCCCAGTGCATTTGAACCTTTCCTTCCTTGTTCTTCTCTCCTGCCAGAAGTGGGGCCCCCTTCATCCCACCCCCTTGGGCTCAAGGGGCAGGAGGGACAGTGAGGGGCCTGGCCAGCAGCCCTGCCCCCACCCCCCACCCCACCCGACCCTCTTCCTCCAACACAGACTGTCCCGGCCCGCAGGCTCGTGCCAGCCCTGCCGCCAGGGCGGATGTGGGGATCCCTCGCTTCCTGTTTTCTTCCCTCTGCTCCAGGGAATGCCTGAGTCACTGGCAGCTCTAATTATAGCCGCCCTCCGCCTGCTGCCTGCCGGGTCTCTGACCTCCTGAGCCCACACCTGCCGCCCCAGGCCTCCCTTTCCCGGAGTGGGGCACACCCCTGGGGTCTTGGAAGCGCGCTGTGGGCTGGGTGCACGCTCTCAGGGGCTTCCACAAGTGCCCGTGAGGCTCTGCGGGCGAGGCCTGGCGTGTGAGGGGTGGGCTGCGCTGCAGTCTGAGGACCCCTGTCCAGGGGCCCCTGAGCTGCGTGTGGCAGCCCTGCTGGGCCCATCTCGCAGAGGAGGGCCGGCTGGTGAGCGTGTGTCTGGGCGGATGAGCACCTCTGGGCCTGGCTTCCGCGGGGGGCGTGGGGTGCTGCGGTCTGTGAGCAGCGTTGGCATGAGGCCATGTGTTGGCCACGGTCCAGTCCCCGGCCCCTGCCCCAGCTCTGCCCGAGGCCCTGCAAGAGCATCCTGGAAGCCTCGTGGCCTGGTTCTCTGCACGCTGCCCACTCAGCCCCTTCTCTGTGTCCCTTCTCAGGCCTCAGGGACCCTGCGCAGGCATGGGTGCCTCTGAGGGGTTTTCTGTGCTAGGGGCAGGGGTCTCTCAGGGGCCGAGAAGCCCTTCACCTCCAGCTCTGGGCCGAGAAGCTCCCTCGGATCCCTCCCCTCAACGTCACACATTTCCTGCTGGGGTGGGACCTGGGGAAGAATGTCCGGCTCGTGTGTGCATGTGAGTGTGTGTGCATGTGTGTATGCATGTGTGTACTTGTGTATGTGTGTGTGCATGTGTTTATGTGTATATAGGTATATATATGTGTATGTGTGTATCTATGTGTGTGGGTATATGTACAACTGTGTGTGCATGTGTTTGTATATGTGTGTATGTGTGTATGCGTGTGTGTACTTGTGTATGTGTGTGTGCATGTGTGTATGTGTATGTATGTATGCATGTGTATATCTGTGTATATCTGTGTATGTGCACATCTGTGTGTGCACGCGCGCGTGTGTGTGTATGTGTGTGTGTACTTGTATATGTGTGCATGTGTGTATGTGTATGTATGTATGCATGTGTATATGTATGTATATGTGTGTATGTATCTGTGTATGTGTACATCTATGTGTGCATGTGTTTGTGTATGTGTGTGTATCTGTATGTATGTGGGCATGTGTACATCTATGTGTGCACATTTGTATATGCGTGTATGCGTGTGTGTACTTGTGATGTGTGTATATGTGTGCATGCATCTGTGTATGTGCACATCTGTGTGTGCACGTGTGTGTGTGTGTGTGTGTGTGTGTGTGTGTCTCTGGGCTGCCACCCCTCCTTCCTCCCGCCCGGGCCCTTCCCCTCTTCTCTGCCACCCCGGCTCCTCCCTGGCTTCTGCTCTGTTGGATTCGGCTCCGGTTCAGTCCGTCAGCCACTGGCTGTGGTAAAGCCGGCAGCTTGCACAACTGCGCCTTCCTGAGTCACTTGCTGTGTGGCCTTGGGCAAACTGCTTCCCCTTGCTGAGCCTCTGCTTTGTCCTCTGCAAATAGAAGGATTAGCGTGCTGATCCCGGGGTCCTGCTGCATCAAAGGTTTGGGACGTCTCCATCCCATGCGGGCTCGGGTGATACCATCGCTCCCTTCCACCCCCAATCCTCCAGTCCTCGGCCGACGTGCCAGCTCCCAGCACCCAAACCCGTTCTCAGCCCTTTTCAGCTTGTCACTCCCCCCCCCCCCCCCCCCCCCGCCTTGTTTATTCCTAAGAGTGGAGCTGATCTCATCAGCCTTGGAGAGGCAGGGCACACCCTACCCTGTCAGGCGTCTCCGAGCTCCTGGGGGCCCCGGGTCCTGCACAGCCCCTCTGGCCTGCAGCCCTAGAAGCTCCCCAGCGCCACCCACTCTCCCAAACGGGGCTGGGGAGGGGGTCCTGAGCCAGAGGGCAAACTCGGGCACAGATGGAAAGCAGGCCTCCAGCCAAAGGAGGAGCTGAGCCCAGCTGGGACAGGGAGTGTGCTTGGACGGGTCGTCCCGGTCCCAGGCCTCTGCTCTGGCGGGCTGCACGGCGGCGTGACTCAGGGGAAGCTCCCCGGTCTCCGTCCCTTCCTTCCCTGCCAACCGTGGGTGCACGGTGCTTACGGGCTCTGCTGCCCCCCCCCCCCCAGCTTTGAAGGCCGCGGTGAAGCGAGTCTAGGTGTTGTGAGCTGCATCCTTTCCCTCCTCAAAGCTGGGGCTCCAGGTTGCTGAGAAAGGGTCGCCAGCTCCCAGTGTGACCCTCCAGGACCTGGGGAGGGGGTGGGGGAGGGGGCCTGGAAGGTCTCCCGGGAAGGCGAGGACTGCAGCTCACGCCCACTTCTGAGAGGCTTCAGCTGACCCGAAGATGAAGAGGCCGAGACCCCAGGGATGGGGGCATGTGGCGAGGCCACAGTGCCCACTCCCTGCTTCCTGCAGCCGCCCTGGGAGCTGCCCCCTTGCCCGACCTGCCCAGCTGTGAGCCTCTGGCTGGGCCTCCCCACTGGAGTCTGGCTGCATTACCTAGAGCGGAGGCAGCAGCGTCTCTGATTTTCCAACCAAGTTCCCCGTTCCCACCCCCATTCTTGGAACTGAGATAAAGTCCCCAGTCCTGTCTGAAGCAGGAGCCCTTGTTTTTGTTCTAGGGGCCGTCCCCGTCCCAGGCCAGGCCTCTGTGGCTCTGGCAGCTGCATGACTGTCCCCAGTGACATGTTCCCAGTGGGATGTCAGGGACAGAGCCCCGGGAGCAGAGGGGCCGGAGAGGCGGGCGCCAGTGTAACAGCGCTTGGGGCAGGCCCCATGCCAGCATTACCCCTGCTGACTCCTCTCCTCTCCTCTCCTCTCCTCTCCTCTCCTCTCCTCTCCTCTCCTCTCCTCTCCTCTCCTCTCCTCTCCTCTCCTCTCCTCTCCTCTCCTCTCCTCTCCTCTTCCCTCCCCTCCCCTCCCCTCCCCTCCCCTCTCCCCTCTCCCCTCTCCTCTCCTCTTTCCTCTCCCCTCCCCTCCACTCCCCCCTCCCCTCCCCTCCCTTCCCCCTCCCTTCCCCTCCCCTCCCTCCTCCTCTCCCTTCCCCTTCCCTCCCCTCTCCCTCCTCTCTCCTCCCTCCTCCTCCCCTCCCTTCCCCTCCTCCCCCTCCTCCCTCCCCTCTTTTCCCTTTTCCTTTCCTTCTTCCTTTCCTTTTTCCTTTCTTTCCCTTTCCTTTTCACTGAAACGATAGATACAGATGTCTTCACCGGAGTGTCGGAACTTGGGCCCAGGTCCTCACACATGCAGGGCTTTACCACGGAGCCACCCAGAATCCCCAGTTTTCATTTTCTCTTTTTTTTTTTTGGATGCATGTCGGCCCTCCTCTCCCTCCTCCGCCCTCCCCCCCCCCCCCGCCCCGCCCCATCCCCAGCAAGCCCCTTCCTCAGCTCAGGCGCAACCTACCGGATCCGAAACTCCTCCACCTTCTGCAGCATCTGCATCAGGTTGGCCTCCAGCTGGCCCCGCTCCTGGCTGACCTTGAGCAGCTCCTCCTGCAGCCGGCCCTGGTGCTCGGCGTACAGGTGCCCCAGGTCGAAGGGGGCCGAGTCCTGGCCCTGCAGGAAGCGCCAGCGCGTCTCCAGCAGCTGGTTGCGCTGTTCCAGGGCTTGCACCTGGGGGAGCAGCAGAGCCAGGCTGAGGGGGCCGGGCGGGGGCCCCCCGGGGAAGGGGCTGCCCATCCTGCCACAGGCCCGCACCCCCGCGGGCCTCACTCGGCACCCTCGGCCCGCAGTGCCCGTGCGGAGGGCTGGCAAGGGAGATGGCAAGATAAGGAGGGAATGAGAGGGAGGTGGGGCCAATTAGGGAAGGTTCCCAGGGGAGGAGCGGGGAACGCGTGGCGGGTGACAAGCTCTCCGGGCCTGCCCGGGGTGTGCGTGGGAGACCCCGGGGAAGGGGGGTGGTGTCAGAGCCCCACCAGCCCCCTCCCCCCTCGACAAGCCCAGTCGCATCTTGCTCTGGAAACTTAGCAGGGCAGGGCCTGGTTTCCTGTCGGTGCTGATCCTCCCAGCAGCACTGTACTTGCGGTCCTGCCAAGCCTCAGTTTCCCCGGCTAGAAGCACCGGGTGACCTCGCCCGCCCTGTGTGCCTTTGGGGGTCCCTGGGAGAGGAGCCTGACCCTGCCTGCGGGACCTGCCTGATGTCCCCTCGCCCTCTGCCCAGCAGCCTCGGTAGTGGGGGGCGTACTGACCACCTCTCCTCCTGGGCCGCAGACAGTCACCTGCTGGCACGCCCGGGGACCCCGCCAGGCAGTCTGGGATTTGGATCTGAGCGTGTGCCCAGCTGACCTGCTTAGGCTCAGGTGGGCCTGGAGGACTCTTCGAAGAACAGGAGCACTCCGGGCCGGACACCTCTCGGGCAGCCCAGTTCTGCCTCCCTGGGCCAGCAGGCTGGAGCTCGGACCCGCTTCTCCACTCAGCCCTGTCCTGTCTCCGAAACTCCTTCCCACCAGCCAGGCCGCTGGGCGAGTTCCCAGCTTCCCCGCTGCGGGGACTCTAAGTGAAACTCTTTCCTGTGTGGGCCTCTGTCGCTCCCCACGCCTGCCACCTTCCCAGGCAGACGGGGAGCCGCTGTGACCTTCTCTCAGGGCCCCTGGATGCCCGGGACATAGGGGGCCCTGGGGACGGTCGGGCCTTAGCTCCTGGCGGTTCAGGCTGCCTTGTCGAGGGGTTCTGTGATGAGTAGCCGGGACGGCCCTGGACACAGACATGTGACGGGGCCTCCTCCTCCCTCTCTTGGCTCTGGGTCCCAGAGTCACAGCCCGAACAAGCCAGCTGCACAGCCAGGAGCCTTTGGGATCAAGCTAGTCTGTGCCTGTTGTTACCAAGGAGGTGCAGATGGGGACTCAGGGCCGCCAAGACACTTGTTTGGAGTCACACAGCAATTTGGTGGCCAAGAGGACACGGCTGCTTACTCGGCGCCTTCACTGGCTCCCTGTTGCGTGCAAACCTGGGTGCCAGGCGCCTTCCCTTCCCTCCCTGGCCTTGCCCACATCCCCGGGCTCTCACAGGGCCCCTGTGAGGTCTCCTTTGCTCCATCAAGACCCATACAACCCACAGCAGCGCTCTGGGGCCTGCAGGTGGTCAGCGGCTGCTGGACCCCAGTGGCCGTGACCAGCGCCAACCCTGGGAGCTGGCGTGCTGCTCCAGTCGCCTCCAAACAGGTTCAGAGGCGCGGAGCGTGGCCACCCTCCGTGCGTCGGTGGCGGGAGGTATCCGCTCACCCCACCTTGCCTCCATTTGGACAAGCCGGAGCGCCGTGTTTACACTGAGGGTGGGGTGAGAGGAGGGGCCGGGCTTTTCTCCCCACCCAGAAGCAGCGCAGACACCCCGACACCAGGAAGTCCTTCTCGGAGTCTCACCTCAATCCCCCACGCTTCAGCGCCTGTCTACCTGCCTCTGGCCGGCCGGGCCAGCTGGAGGACATTTTGGGGGATCCTGGGCACCCCCTCCCCCTGTCGCCCTGGTTTCAGTGGGTGGGGATGAAGAGTCATCCCCCCCTCCCCACCCAGGGCCTTCCCCGCAGAAAGGCCCCTCCCGCTGGGAACAAAGGCAGGTTCACTGCCTCCCACCTGTCAACATGCAGGGCCCTCACTCCCCCGCCCCTGGCCGGGCCCCCAGCCCGGACACCAGATATAATTGCTCCAGGCTGGGCCACACCATTTCAAGAAAATGGGGGCCCAGAAACCACAGTTCTCACTGGGCCCCGACGTGTGGCACCCAGGCGTCCCCCTGAAACTCAGGGCAGATGACAGTGGGGGAAATGATTTTCTGGGCCTGGAGCTCCTGGCCCCCGGGAAGGATGCTGATGAACAGCCTGGCCGGGGGTGCCCCTGGGGTACCCCCTAGTCCTTAGAAGGGTGCCTAGCCCAAGTCCTGCTTTGGCGCCTGTAGCCTCCTCCTGCTGGCTCCAGGTACCAGGGGGAGACCTCCTTTCAACCCTCCTGGGTCCCTCCTCAGCCTCTTAGCTGCACGGTCTCTGGGCAGATGCGGCGTCCAGGTCCCCCACCTGCTCTGCTCACACCCCCTGTCTGAGGACCCCAACCAGCCAGGCCACCTTCCACTGCACCAGCCCCCCAGGGTCATCCTCAAGCAGGGAGGCCAGATGGATGCCCGAGAGGCAGGGGAGGCTGCCCAGCTTGAGAGTGCAAGAACCAGCCGTGCTTCAGGGACTCTGGAAGGCGCCTGGGGTCTTCACCCCTCCTGGGGGGTGGGGTTCTAGCCCTCTTCCTTCCCTCTTTTCCTCCTTGGAGAGGCTGAGTGAGAGCAGGCATCTCGGAGCTCTTCAAGCCCTTTTCTTTTTCTTTTTTTGGCTTTTTGGGTCACACTCGGCAAGGCACAGGGGTTACTTCTGGCTCATGCACTCAGGAATTACTCTCGGCGGTGCTCGGAGGACCCTGTGGAATGCTGGGAATCGAACCCGGGTCGGCTGCATGCTAGGCAAGCGGCCTTACCCACTGTGCTACTGCTCCAGCTCCATCTTCAAGTCCTTTTCAATGACAGACGAAGGTGCCTGTCCTCGGGCAGCAGTGGGGGCCAGCTGGTCTGGGTGCCACTTGCTGGGGGACTCCTCCTCTCCTGTTTGTCGCCCCACCCTGTGCTAGTGAAGGCTGTGTCCCCTGCTCCTCCCGGCCACGTGACGCACCCCTAATCCATGACGGGCCCTCACTGCCTCTGCCGGCTGCTCCCTCCCTTTCCTCCTGCCTAGAAGGGCCTGTCTGGGCTTTAGGAGCTCCTTGGCTGGGCCATTCATGGAATGGCGGGGGAGTCTCCCAAATGGTGCTCAGGGGCCGGGGCCTGCAGGACACTTGGTCTGGCTGTGAGGGTCTGAAGGTCTGGCGGTATCTGGGGGACCATGAGGTGCTGGAAATCGAGACTCTGACTGCAAAGTGTGAGCTCCCAGGACCGTCTCCCAGGCCGCTCTATGAGATTTTTAGCTTAATAGTTATTCGAGCATATAACATGTGCCAGATGTGTTTCAAGTGCTTTTCAGGAGCTAGAGATGTGGCTCAGAGGAGAGCACCCGAGTGCATCTGCGTGGATGAGACCCTGGGGTTCATCGAATACCCATCACTGCAAAACATAGCAGGAGCCTAAGAGAGTACAGCAGGGAGGATGTTTGCTTTGCGGCTGATCTGGGTTCAACCCCAGCATCCCATCCTCAGAGCTCACTAGGAGTGATTCCTGAGTGCAGAGTCAGGAGTAATTCCTGGGCATCACCGGGTGTGGCCCAAAACCAAAATCAAAATATGAACACTGGGTGGGGGGGCTGGAGTGATAGCACAGCGGGTAGGGCGTTTGCCTTGCACGCGGCCAACCCAGGTTTAATTCCCAGCATCCCATAGGGTCCCCCGATCACTGTCAGGAGTGATTCCTGAGTGCAAGCTGGGAGTGACCCCTGAGCATCGCCGGGTGTGGCCCAAAAAGAAAAAAAAATAACATTGGGGTCTCCCAATGTTAGAGGTCAGTGATAGAGCACGTCCCTCGCATGTGTGAAGACCCGAGCTTAATCTGATATCACAAATATATACATTTGTGGGGCCCAAGAGAGAGTACAGTGAGTAGGGCGTTTGCCTTGCAGGTGACCTGGGTTTGATTCCAGCACTGTGTCCACCAGGAGGGATTTCTGAGTGCAGAGTCAGGAGTAAGCTCTGAGCAGTCCTGGGTGCGCCCCCCCCCAAGTAAAACAATAAGATATAATAAAAATAAGTATCGAGCTGGGAAGATAGTTTGGGCTCAGCCTGATGGACTCTGCATGCAGGGTTCTCCGTTCTGATCCCCAGCCTTGTGGCTTCCCAAACACCAGCAGAAGCAGCCTCCCTGCATCGTTCAGGACAAGGAGCCATTGAGTAGAGCTGGGTGTCGGTGCCCCACAAATGAAAAGAAAAATGATCCTTTTTGACACAGATAAACCACCACCCCATGTGCGTAAAGACTCAGAGAAGTAGAGGGAGCACTTTGCTTGAGCACTTAAGTCAGGCTTCCTGGGAAGCTGTGTCACCCTCTCCTAATGCTAGTGGCCACCCCTGACCTCTGGCCTTTCCAAGGAGCCAGCAAGGAGGAACCGGAAGCAGTCAGCTGGGACTCCTTGGCAGGACCCGGGTCATCGAGGCACCTCAGGCCGGCACCTTTGTTCCCTGACTCCCACCCTTCCGGGTGCCCATCTCAAGGCCAAAGTTGGAGAAACATCCTGAGCCGGGCCACTGAGCACAGCCTCTGACCCGGAGGCCCCCTCCCTGTGCCCACACAACCCTCCTGCCCCTGTGCAGAGGCCCAGGGTGATATCAGCCCCATTCAGGGAGAAAAGCCACCCATGGGAGCCAAATTACAGAGCGCGGAGAAACTTTCCTTTTAAGGGATTAAAGCGGGTTTGGAAAGGCTGTGGCCCTGCAGAGGCCTGTCTCCGGGGGCAGCACCCGGCAGCGCAGGGCTCGTCCCCGCCACCCGGTACCGTCTGGGTGCTCTACCTCATTCTCTCTGGTTGTCACGTCCCTTCCACCACGGGGACACTCCCGACATGGGCACATGACAGGACGGGAAACTGCGTCTGAGTCCATTGACTCCTGCCTCACTGGCCCGAGTTCTAGCCCTGACTGGGACTCTTGCCGGATGTGACCTGGCCAGTCTCCCTCTGCACAGGAGTGGGGGTCAGCCCACTGAGCAAGGCGGTGGAGGACGGTAGCGCACACAGATCTGCCATGTGAGCGCTTCCCGTCCTGCTGGTCAGCCCAGCACCTCCCTCTGGGAGGCCACTAGCCGTGAGTGGCCACAGAGCAGGAATGCCAAGGGAAGACAAGACCTGAACCAGTATCTAAAGCCAATGTCTAATGGGTCTGCTCCATCGGCATGGAAGAAACCTGCCTTTTCCCCATCTATAAAATGGGTATCGGGGCTGGAGTGACGGCACAGCAGGTAGGGCGTTTGCCTTGCATGCGGCCGATCCAGGTTCGATTCCCAGCATCCCATATGGTCCCCTGAGCACCGCCAGGGGTGATTCCTGAGTAGCCACTGTGCATCGCCAGGTGTGACCCAAACAGCCAAAAAAAAGAGAAGACTCCTAGATGACAATTGTTCTACGGTACTCCCTCTGATGTCCTTCCCATCTTTACTCCCAATAAAAACTTTCAAAAAAAAAATGGGTATCATGTGACTTCTTTCCTAAGGTGGCTTAGGGAGCTCTGTGAAGGGCACGCAGTGAGCACTGGCCAGTGACTGTGACTGTCACGGTGCTGGTTCTCAGGCCAGCAGGGCAGCAGATTTGGGCAGCGGTGTGGGGACAGCTGGTCAGGAAGGGCTTCTTGGAGGGGGTGAGTGAGGAACAGTTGCAGCTGGTGGACAGGGCTTCCTGGGAGCTGTTTGTTTGTTTGTTTTGATTTTTGGTTTGGCGCTACACCCAGTGGTGCTCAGGGCTTACTCCCAACTCTGTCATCACTCCCGGTGACGCTTGGGGGACCATATGGGATGCCGAGTATCGAACCGGTGTCACGCTCCCCTTCTGGTCTCTTCCTCGGAACTCCGCAAGCCTTTGCCAGAAACGGACACACACCTGCTCCAGAGAACGGTGCCAGCCTCGTCAGCGGGGCCGCAGGGTGGGTGCAGGGAGGCTGCCGACCTGGTCCTCCCTCCCGGCGTCTGTTCCCCGCGTTCCTGCCTGCAGACGCCCTCAAGCTGCGCGCCTCCACCCCAGCCGACTCTGCCAGCCCCAGACGCCCTCCTCCCGCTGCCAGCGCTCTGACCCCCCGAGCGAGCGGTGAGCAGAAGGATGGGCTGGGGGTCCCCGTCCTGGTCAGCCGGCCTCGGAGACCACGCCTCCCCGGGGCCGAGGCCGCGACCGGGCCCGCAGGCGCCGGCTGGAGGGGGCTTCCCCGGGCCGGGTTCTGCTCCTCCCCGGGCCTGCCTGCGGGGAGGGCGACTCCAGGCCACACAACACGTTATTATCCACGCCGGCCTTCCTCGCTCTCCCCGTGCCGGCCAGGGTGGCTCAGGGCCTCCCCTCCCCATCCCGGCCCGGCCCGCCCGGCCGCGCCCGCTCCCCATTGGCTGCAGGCGGGGGTGGGGCGCGATGCTCCGGAAAGCCCAGCCGGGCCACCTGCCCGCGCGCGCGGCGCCCCGCGCCCACCCGTCCCGCCGCCCACCCGCCCCCGGCACTCACTCTGCCGATCAGGGACGCGAACCGGTCGTTGAGCACCTTCATCTCCTCCTTCTCCTGGGTCTTCTGCTGCTGGATGGCCGGGTCCACCTTGAGGTCCAGGGGCACCAGCAGGCTGGGGTCGACGGTCACCCTGGGGAGGGCGCCCGCCGGCCGGCAGCCGCTCAGGCTCCGGGAGCCGAAGCCGGGCCCGGGGGCCCCGCAGCCGCCCCAGCCCGACGGGCCGGGCCGGGGGCGTCCCGCCGGGCTGGCCTCGCAGCTGCTGAGGCTGCTGAAGCCCACGACGCACGAGCGGCAGGCCATGGTGCCGGCCCCGGGCCCGGGCACGGCGGGGGCGCCGAGGCTGGCGGGCAGCTGCTCCGGTCGCGGGCAGGGCCGGCCGGGGACTGAGGCGCAAACACCTGTCGGACAGTGCTCATTACCCGCCGAGGGCGGGGCGCCGCGCAGCCCGCCCGACCTGTTAGAGGATGGGGCGCCCCGCCCCCGGCCCCGCGCACCCCTCTGCGCGCGCCCGGCCCGGCCCCGGCCGCTCCTGCTGGGGCGCCCCGATCAGCGCCCGGGCGCGGGCTCCGGGGGGCGGGGGGCGCGGCCGGGCGGGCGGCGGGGTGGGCCCGCGGCGGGCGCGCACGGAAGGAGCGGCCGGAGCGAGCCCCTCCCGCCGCGGCCCCGGCGCATACCCGAGGCCTGACGCTGGCCCGTGCGCATCCCCCGGAGCAGGCGATGCCTGCGAGCGAGCCCCGAGTTCCTCACCCTCCTCTGCTCCTCGAAGTAGAACGCCTCTTCGGCCCTCCCCCGGGGCGCCCTCGCTTCCTCCCCACCGGCCCGGGGTCTGTCCCCTGCAGAGCCCCCTCTGCACCCCGCCGCCGCCGCCTGGGCGCAGGGAGGGAGGAAGCGGGCGCAGGCTGGGCCCCTGCATGCTGGAGGCGGCTCCGGCTGCTGCCACCTGGGCAGGATCGTCGGGGCATCTGCATTCCCCGACTGGGAAGTGGCACGAAAGCGACTCACGAAAGCAGGGGGTGCCGTGAGCACAGGCAGGAAGGAAGGCAGGGGAGGGGGCGCCCGACCCGCCTCGCCTCGGTCTCCGGGCTGGAGTTCCCACAACCCCGCAGCTCCGGTGTTTGATGCCCCTGCCCGCAGGGGATGTTCTCGGTCTCCTCCCCTCCCCTCTTCCTTTCCTCACCCCTATTTTTTCTTCTTTTTTTTGGGGGAGGGTCACACCTGGCGATGCTCAGAGGTTCCTCCTGGCTCTGCACTCAGAAACCACTCCTGGCGGTGCTCAGGGGAACATAGGGGATGCCGGGAATTGAACCTGGGTCGGCTGCCTACAAGGCAAACGCCCTACCCGCTGTGCTAGTGCTCCAGCCCCCTCCCCTATTTCTTCTTGAATGTCCAGTGGAGAGGAAAGATGTTTGGCACCCACAGAGACCCCATGGGGACGTGGCAAGAGGGTCAGGAGCTGAGGCCCCAGAAGGAAGGGTCCTGTCCAGAGGCAGCTCTGAGAAGCCTCTTGGGAGTCTTGAGGGGTGCAGGTGGGAGCAGGAGGTCTGTGCTCTGGGGCTGGAGTAAGAGAGAGGCAGTAGGGGCTGGCCAGCTTCACTCCCTAGGGCACGGGGCTCTCTAATGAGGCCATCCACCTCCTGACTCCCTTTTCTGTTGCCGGGACTCCCCCAACAGTGCTCAAGCTCAGTGTGTTTGGGGACCATCAGGGGGCATGCGGGGCCAGGGGTACCCTCAGGGCTCCAGCCATGCTGGCATGTGCTCAGCCACCTGAGCCATCCCCTCCTCCAGAGGCAGCATCGAAGCTTTGACACAGCTGTGGGTGAACACCCGCCCCTCCCCCCCCCCGACCCCTCTGCCCAGGTGACCAGGTTTCCAAGATGACTGTGTCCTCACTCCTGGCATGTGTGGCCCCTCCTCCACTCACCTACTTCTTGGCCCACCTGGGCCTCCCACCAGCTTCGCCCTGACCTGGTATCCGAGTGGCATGTGGTCCGGCTCAGCACCCTGCATCCCTCCATGGGGCCGGCCTTGGCGTGTGGGCCCAGACATCAGCCGATGGGGCAGTTCTGTGCCTGCACTTCTCATGCAGGTGCCTCGACCCTCATGCCCGGCACCTTTGTAGGTACTTTCGATCTCGTGGGCCCCGGCATGCCAAGCGGGGCATCGTGGCCAAGAAGGGTCCTGCACTCGGTGGAGGTTGAACCCTTTGTTAGCGATACGCTACAGCGAGGGTGGGGGGAAGACCCCTCAGACCTGAGCCCTCACATCTGTGACCCATGGCAAGGGCAGTGGGGCTGGAGGGGAGCTGTCTCCTGTCCCTCTGGGCTCACCCCACCCTGGACTTTGAGGCCCGCTGCTCAGTCCTCTGAGCTGACCTATGCCGTTCAGCTGCGACCACCCAGTCCTCTGCTATGTCGACCACTGGAGTCCCACCTTGTGGGACCGTCTCTGGGCCTGAGATCTGGCTGGCCCTTCCTGGAGGGCGGACCGACTTCTTGGAGACGGGGTGGCCACACTGGCCTGGACTCTAGGAGGGCTGAAGTGGGCTGTGGGGTCAGTCTGTGGCTGCCTCTCTGGCCCCTGGCCTCCCTCACCGGCTGGAGGGGCTTTTGATAGGATCCCAGCCAGGAGCCAAGCACCTCCCCACCTCAGGCCTCCCCAGAGTGGACAGGCCCTGCCGCCCCTCCTCTCTGAATGGGCCCCAAGCCCAGGAACAGGGGAGGGAAGCTGAAGTGGCAGCGTGTGTGTGTGTGTGTGTGTGTGTGTGTATGTGTGTGTGTGTGTAAGGGGGGTGATTCTGAGCAGTCCCCAAGCCCCTCCTGGGGCCAGGAGGACGCACAAGCAGCCCCCTCTGGGATCTGAGGGACGGGGTCTTGGGCGAACCCAGAGGGAGGTGGCACCTGGCATTTAGCTTGTGGGTGCCCGCGTGGGCAGAGGCTGGTCAGTCCTTGGTGGTGCAGGGACAGAGACAGTGTCCTCTGCTTCCGACCTTCGTCTCCGGGCTTTGCTCTGCCCACTCATGGCAGGTGGCCGAGCCGTCTATGGGTGATGGAGCAGAAAAGATGGGCTGGGGGCTGGGGGGACAAGGCTGGCGGGAGCCCCCGCCCCCCATGGAAGGGGCGTGTGGGCTGGCATGCCCAGAAAGCTCTTTCTTTCCTCGGGCCTTTCTCTGTCTCTGGGCTTCCGTCCTCTCTCCTCCCAGCTGACTTCCTCCCCACAGCCTTCCGTCCCTCTCCCCACCACCCACTCACTGTCCAGGCCCTGGGGCTCTGGGGCTCTCGGTCCTGGCGGAGGAGGAGCGCCAGTGGGATGGCCTGATGGGAACGGCAACCCTGTGTCACAGTTTCTGCGCTGGCCTGGCCCCCGGGCCCGGCGGGCAGGCCTGGCATGAGGCAGGTGAGCGGCGCATAGTTGCGGGATGAATGTGCCTGTGACCACACGCCAGGCTCCTGGGAGGGACATGACTCCCGGGAAACAGGCAGGAGCCCTTCAGCTAGGAGAGACTTGGAGGAGCTCAGACGTTTCCTCCAGAGCAGGACGAGAGGGTGGGTCCCCTCCTCCAGGAAGCCTTCCCAGCCCAGCCCAGTTTCCGCCTAATGTGTCCTGTCTCCTGAATGCAGGGCCTCACCCAGTCACCTCCTGGGTCCGGGCCTTCTCCCTGAAGAGGCTGGCTCCCTTCTCTGACTGTCCCTTTGACAGGCCTGGTTTAAGTCTGCAGGAGGCAGATGGGGATTGGGGCCTGGGGATGAAGAGCTGAGAGTCGATTGGGAGGACCAGGAAAGGGGGAACCCATGGCAAACACAGAGACGCTGAAACGGCCCAGAAGATACACGTGATAACTTTCAGTACCTGTGCTGCCAACCATTATGCCCAGAAGGAGAGAGAAAGAGGGAAGGAGGGGGGGAGAGAGGGAGAAGGAGAGAGAGAGAGGGAGGAAGAGAGTGAGGGGGGAGAGAGAGAGGGAGAGAGAGGGAGAAAGAGGGAGAGAAAGGGAGAGAGGGAGAGAAAGGGAGAAAGAAAGGGAGAGAGGGAGTGAGAGAGGGAGAAAAAGAGAGAGGGAGGGAGAAAGAGGGAGAGGGAGAGAGAAAGGAAGAGAGGGAGAGGGAGAGAGAGAGGGAGAGGGAGAGAGGGAGAGAGAAAGGAAAGAGAGGGAGAGGGAGAGAGAGAGGAAGAGAGGGAGAAAGGAAAGAGAGGGAGAGAGACAGGGAGAGAGGGAGTGAGAGAGGGAGAAAAAGAGGGAGAGAGAGAGGGAGGGAGAAAGGGAGGGAGAGAGGGAGAGAGGAAGAGACAGGCAGAGAGACAGAGAGAGACAGAGACAGGCAGAGAGACAGAGAGAGACAGAGACAGGCAGAGAGACAGAGAGACAGAGAAGTGCCTGCCATAGAGGCAGGCTGTGGTGGGGGGTGGGGTGGTGGGCGGGAATCTGGGGACATTGAGGTGGGAAACGTACACCGGTGGAGGGACTGGATGACTGACACCTGTTCACAACTTGGTAACTATGTATCTCTCCGTGATTCAATTGAAATAAAATAAGAAACAAAAACTGCCCCAGAAGCTTTTCCAAGTGCCCGGCAGGCCATGGAGGCATGGACGGGGCCTGAGCTGGCCAGGCTGTTGGGGGCAAGGACCAGAGGCCAGAGGGGCGGCCAAGAGCTCTCCAGGTCGGGACAGGGGGCTGGCTGGGGCTAAAGCAGCAAATGGGTCTGGGGGAGAGAAGCGTCAGGAGGACTCAGGCTCATTACAGGACTGTTGACTCGGGGCTGCTGAGCCCAGAGGACAGTGGCCACCTGGAGCAGCCCAGGGAGGCCACAGTCAAGGTCTGGATGACTCCTGGGCCGCTAGTGTGTTGTCCCTTCCACTGTGTGGGTCACCTCCCGCCCCTCCTTTCCTCCCCCTTCCCTCCCGCTCCACGCTGCCAAAGCGGGCCCCTTCCGTCCAGCTGCAGTGCGATGTCCCGCGCCGGGAGGCCTGTTTCCGTCACAATATCTCCTCCGAGCACAGTGCACTGGTCTGTAAGAAGGAGCCGACGTGGGCCGAGAATGCAGGTTCCTAGAGGCTGTGACCTAGCTCAAGAGAAGGGGAAGGGTGGGAGAGACAGTGCAGTGGGGAGGGCCCTTGCCTTTTATGCGGGCAACCTGGGTTTGATCCCGGCGTTGCATATGACTCCTCAAGCCCTGCCAGGGTGCTCGGTGCTCCTGAGCACCGAGCCAGGAGCAGTCCCTGAGCACCACCAGGTGTAGCCCCCAAACTAATAACAACAAAAAGGAGACAAGGAGAGCAGCGGTGGACAGGAAGAGGCGGTC